GTCCGGAAGTCTGAGAATACAAAGAACGTATTATGTTTGCAAACTTCCGGGGCATTCCTTGGTGGGCAAGCGTCTCAAGAAGAACAGACCGATCAACCGATTCGAATGCGCCTCGGAAATCCAAGAATACTAGAATTGTGGGTCGCTTATACGTATGGCGTTGTTCTAGCACGTGACGCAGTGTGAAGATTTGGTCAACACAACCCCTACCAGGCCGGAACCCGCTTGGCGACGAAACACAATTGACGCCAACAGTCTCGTTACAACCGGGGTCAAGCTGATCCCCCTGTGGTTACCACACTCACTACGCGCCCCCTTTTTGACAATGGGCATTATCACCGATTCTCCCCAGTTGTCTGGGACAGACTCCTTTTCCAAAATGCAAGCAAACAGATCTGACAAGCGCTGACTGAGGACTTCACCCCCGTCTTTGAACAGTGCGGGTGGAAGGCCGGACCGACCGTCCACCTGTATTTGTTTCTTCACAATGAGGTTTTGAATTATGATTGTATGGCAGCAAAGCATCAATCTTATACACGTCATGCTGTACAGTGCGGGTGGAAGGTCATCCGGACCGTCCACCTGTATTTGTTTCTTCACAATGAGGTTTTGAATTATGATTGTATGGCAGCAAAGCATCAATCTTATACACAGACGTCATGCTGTCGACAATGTTGATGATGACTAGCCGGATGTCTTTCAGATGCACGCAACCGAAGGCAAACTTAAAAAAAATAAACCGATGGGATTATATGACCCCCTGATTTTATATTTCGGTTTGGCTGATGACGAATGAAGGCGCCAAATATCTGCGTGGGGAAAACATTAACAACCGTGGATTACTTAATCGTACAGCTGTCACGCGAAGAACTCCGATAATGTATCATATGTCCGCTGATATCAAATGTGGGTAACCTACGACCCACAAATGGTTAGTGGCGTCACCAGTGCAAAGTTCTAGACGGCTCTTACAGCTGTTGTTATGGCTAATCTGGAATAACAAGCCCTAACGAATCATCATCATCATCATCGACAGCACTATCGAAGCCCTAAGGAATGCATGCAGATTACTCTTGAGAATATCGTATTCCATAGAGGCAACGACCAACAATAGAAAAAATATGACCCTGACCGTCCAGGTACTAAATATATGAAAATCGTCGACAAGATCCTAAGATACACAAAAACTCGCTTAAGAGTTTGATTTATTTCAGACCACACAAACAGAGAGAACGTCATCAAATCAACCACGTTTGGATTGTAACCGAACTGCAGATCACTGGAAGCAGTGATACCGAAGGCACAGTGGAGGACGCAAACAGAAGATGGTCTACTCACAGAGATTAAGACAGTTTAACCATTCGACTAGGCGAAGATTAAAATATTTTGTTGATTGTCGGGAAGAACTATGGGGACTTGCTGAAAAGCCACACAATTAAACGACCTAAGGAATGAAAGACTGCCGAAAATTTAGATGGGGAATGTTAACACAACAGGTAACAGTCGTTCAGTCATTTCAATTCATCAGCTATGAACGATGGACCAAGAGTACGCTGGTTCAAGCTATCACAGCTTCGATCACTCGAAAATGGGTCAGCATGAGATACTTTGACTTTGGATGTTACGCATCGACGCACGAACGCCACTGACCGTGTGAATCAGTCATGTGTGCCAGCGTCATCAAGTATTACTCAGTTCAGTTACGGGTTCCGGATCCAGGAGTCAGCAGTTGTACACCAGCTTAAGTTTACCGGTTTGTATTTATTACTCCGTTCCCAGGTCACAGACTGTCCACCTCTCAGTCGCTTCTATCCATCACAGGACTGAGCGGAAAGAGCTCTACGAAGCAGATGGTCCTCCGACGAGACGTTCCAGCAAAACAGCCGGACTCAGATCACAATTCGACCGTCAACATCTGGAGAGATTCAGTGTGGGATAAAAAATATCTGAAACTTATATTGGACAATCCAGAGTTCCCGAGCATCGACTTAGGGGGCGGAATAACTGTGGTCAGAACGAGAATTTGCTGATCGGAAGGCCCGTGGTTCGAACCCGACATCTGCATCCCGATCTTTCCTATCTAGGCTTGGGCAACCTAGCAGTAGCCCAGCACTCGCGCTTCCATCAGGTAATATGGCGACGACTATGATAATTATGATTATTATTAATGACTTAGAACGGCAGGCTGATGCACCATCCATTTGGAGTCCAGGTGCCTTTAACTAAGCCCATTAGTTCGTTCCCAGACTTGCGTTTTGAAACAGAGCGACCGCACCTGCAACACATGACTAGTTCGTATGCTCCTTTATGCAACTACGTGTAAGCTTCCAGAGCAATTTAGGGGAATGGTCCTATGATTTCAAGGGATTTTCGCTGCTTGCAAGTATTATACGGATGTTCTCACTCCTCTGGTCCATGAACGTGCTCTTCAGTGAACTATCTACTAGCTACTTGGGAACGGTAATTTATACACTCCGTCAGAGCCCTCAGGGTTTTCGTCCGTTTGGTCCCTTTGCCATGTACAGCTAGTTTTGGTTTTGGTTTGGTTTCAGCTCAGCTTTGGTTTCAGTCGACCAAGCAGAGAGTGAGGTTGCCCATGCGCAGTCTTCCTATTCACCAGCATAAGTTGCGCATCTCAGTGGGTCGTGCTGAATTTCCGTACAAATTACTCAGGATCTTAAGTATCAATAAAAATGAGGGAACCATCCGGTCAGTATTCCGGAAGTGGATTTGGACAGATGATTGGACTCCATGCATTTTCCACACGAAATTAACACAATGAGATTCAGGGGTGTACATGAGTGCTTCATGGACAAGGCACACAAAAAGATGGCTGGGTCCATCATGAAATCCTCCCCGGGTATACTTGTACGATTGTCAGCGGCTAGTACTAATTTGCCTAATGAAATCCACAGACCAAACGCCAGTCTCACGGTGGGATTTAACGGACATCTCGGTGACAGGTATGGCCTCTTCCCTCTACCACGAAACCAATTGTGGACCAGTGCACCAGACAAAGTTAGAAAGTTTGCGGCGATACCTTTTTAGTGGCTAGTATGTCAAAAGGGTTGAGTGTACACACCCTGTGCCTGAATGAAAGAATATGTAAGATTCAAATTAAATAAACTGACGAATTGCTCTAATTCTTCCCTGATATCACGAAAGAAAGCTGGCACCAGTACCAGCATTTACAAATGCGTGCGTGGCGGGGCCACATAGGCCATCGAACTAGAGGTATCCAAACTTACCGGTGTCTGTTTCGGGCATTTTGATCAAGCAGGGCGGTGCGATTGAATTGCGGCCTTCAAAATGAGTCACCGGCTGAGTTAAACAATAGGTTTCATTCTTTTCGAAGATCCCGAGGAGTTGTAGCTGGCGCCGCTCATCCTTCAGTCACGGGATCCACAGCACACGGTCACACGTATTGACTGGCTCCTCGAGCAACGACTTATCAGATGTAGGTTTCACTAATCGAGAGAAGTTTGTTCTTCCACCGAGTTACCCATAGGTTGTTGGCAGTGTGAGGATATTTAGACATTTTTTTGTGGAGACATCCTGTCTAAGTGCTGATCAGCCACTAGTGGCCAAACAGTAAAGCGTTCAAAATGCTAACCAGGAGGTCGCGAGTTTGAGCTTCTCCGGAGTTTCGCGAGATGCGCACTCCTCACCCTCGGAGGAAGCAGAGGCAGTGTTGAAATGCTTGTACACAAACTGCCTCAGCCTTTTCAACAAACTCGGCGATGTTAAACAGTCAGCTTGCCTTGAAAAACTGTCCATAATCGCACTCACAGAGACCTGGCTCACACCAGATGTCTCTGACGCGGAGATCTCGATAGACGGTTACTTTATTTTTCGAGC